AGATAGATTCTTTCCTGGACGAAGTATATAAGAAAAAGGTTAGTAATGATATTAGGCAGAGAAATTGGGAAAAGAAACATCAAGCCCAAGAGTCTCTTCCAACACATTCCGAAGAGAAAATGCCTCAAGAGATCAAGTGTCCTATCTCTGATTCTGCGATCCATGATCAAAAGAGAGTTACCGGAGGTAGCAGGTCACATAAGAAAAAAGGAATGGATGAACTCAAGCACGAATTATTCAATCCCCCTTCGAAATCTAATGGTCCATCCTCTATAAACCATAATAATGTGTCCAAAATTTCTAAGACGGCCTATTCCAGAAAAGTTACCTATGATAGCATTGATGAAGCCTCATAACATCTAGCTCAGTTACATAACAAAGCCATCAATGCTGAAGATAGAACAAATCGAGCTAATCAGGAAAAATTTTATATTGATGCCTTTACTGGAAGGATTTCAGAGATCAGCTTGATGAAATTATCAGAAGCAATGGTGGTAAATTTGGTAAAAAGAAGGTGAGAAGTATGCTTTATGACACCATTACAGAACAGCTTTCTATCCTCCGCAAGAAAGATCACAAGAATTAGGGCTAAAAGTTAGGGTTGTATCATGGGATAGCTTGTGTAAGAAAACCCAGAAAGCTAAAAAAAACTATAAATTATTCGAAAAAGTAGGTCTAGATAAGATCAAGTATATTAATTCATATAGTACAAATTCTATTTCAGAGCTTACTGATGCACAATTTCAAGAGATCATAGATTATAGTATATTTTTGGAAAAGTTGTCTCCGGAAGCTGGTCATGTATCTGAAATTTCTAAAACAGCCTGTCCCGGAAAAAAATTGCCTGAAGTAAATACACTATCTACACCTCAAATCACTCCAGCTAAAGCAGATGATAATAATCTCACAGATCTCAAGGAGGAAGATTTCTGTGGCGATGAGGTGTTGATCGCAAATGTATTGTCTGCATCTCAATCTTATGACCGTACATATTTTCGCAACAAGATATTGAATCAATATCCTAATCTATATAGAGAATTTAGTAATGAAAATTTCAATTATTATAGGATTACTGATGATATATCATGCCCATTATGCAAACTAGGTTATGATAATGAAGAAAGTATAAAAGGTAGATATAAAGCTGAATCCTATTTTATTAAATGTAAATAGTGCGAAATTGAGATAGTTGCATAGTCTGATCAATTTGGCCAGAAACGCTTCACATAACCCTATATTTGTTCACGCTTCATTGTGATATTTTTAGAGGACTAATTTATGTCAACTATTGCCTACTGTAATTTAAACTGATTTGCAATCATATAAAAAAGCAATATGAGTAAGTTCGATAAAATATTAACCCCTTTGTATCTGGATTGGCATGCCAAATTAACTGGTTTACCAAGAGTTTTGACGGATAAGATCCATTCCAATTTATACAAAAAATATAAAAGAGAAATAAGACTTGAGCCATGGCAATTATTAGGAGGTTACCTCATAAATTCGAAGCCAGAAAACAAAGTATCAGATTTATCTTTTTCTGAGCAATGTGAAAAAAAAGGGCCTATCATGTTCAAAGCCAAACCTGATTCAGAGTTAATTATCAAATCCGTGTTAAAGCATTTCACATACTTGAAATTCCGAAATAGTTTTAGAGGAATTGATAATTATAGTTTTGCATCACCTCAGCCGTGGAGCTCATCATGCCTTATTTGCAATGGAAAACATGAGAATTATGGATTACATGGCAAATAGTACCACGAAAATAGGAATCAGCTCCCTTATGATCCCGAATTAGCGAAGTTGTATTCCCAAGATAAGTTAGAATATTGTCTTACCTGCAATACTTCAAGTAATAAACTCAAGTTCGTGATCGTAGCATAGATTAATAAAGTTTTTAA